GTCCTATAAGGAGACACTATGGATATGTAAGACTCAGACACTCAAATTGAAATTTCCTACAAGGTCAATGTGGCGAAGACTGAGTATACCTCAACGTGATCCAGCTGTGAATAGATCCACTGCTTCCATCATCAAACCTGAATGTTCGTTAGATGGGTTAGTGTTTATAGACCTAATCAAAACCCCCACAAAATATATCCAACTCCTATTCTCTTGTCCACTTTTCAAAACGAACTCAAACAGCTCAACACGTTGGGTTGTAAAGAGCAGTGTTTCTGTTTGTGCAGCTTTGAAGAGGCCCGGATTGTGTGTGTGTGTTGTGTGTGTATGCAGCACAGAGGCATGCGGTGTGTATCCGCGAAAAAGTGCACATCCATATGGGTCTGAGTTTCCGCTTCCAAGCGAGGGAATGAAGAAGCGAGAGGTAGAAAAAGGGAGAGAGTCTCATTTGTATTCACCACGAATCTACATTCACCTGCCAGAGCAACAGCAACCCCCCACCCACTCTACCCTCAACAGATGGCCACCCGTCAGCTCCCAGCAGACACACACACACACACACACACACACACACACACACACACACACACACACACACACACACACACACACACACACTCGTTCTCTCCCTCAATCAAGTCCGCACACACACTCACTGGCACAAAATAAGCTTCCCCACACTTAGTGAGATGAGCAGGGATCCTTGGTGTAAAATGGAGTGGATGAAACATATGATTAGAAATAGGGAGGGAAGTCATTAGTACAAAGCAGAGCTCCAGTGTCACGTTATTTATCTAGCACTGAGCATACATCAATTACCCATGCATGGATATGCTTAAATATTAATCTCCTCATTCGTCCTCGTTCTCCCTCTGCTCTCCGCCCGTCAGGATCAGTGGCTGGCCCGCAGCCCCATGCTGCAGCGGCGCGTCTACCACGTCATGGCGGCCGTGAGGAGGCAGCTGTACGTGCTCGGCGGCAACGACCTGGATTACAACAACGACCGCATCCTGGTGCGTCACATCGACTCCTACAGCATGGACCTGGACCAGTGGACCCGCTGCTCCTTCAGCCTCCTCACAGGTGGGCAGGGGGGAGGCCGCGCCCGCGTGGCGATAATTACCGAGCCGACGGTAAACAGGATATCGAACCGCACGAGCGGCCGGCGGTTTTGTGCGCAAACAGAAACGGTTTGAAGCGCAACGTTATCAAAGCAGTTGTCGGTGTTCACTCGTGTGCTTTAGAGGAGTAAGTTAATGTTTTGGTTATCAAAAAAAAAAAAAAAACTAACTTTTCCTCTGGGTTCTCTCAGTTGCGTTACTAAGAGGGGGGCCACCGGTGGCCATGGCCCCCCCGTTGGAAAATGTTGGCCACATCACTCCTCTTAATGAATAACAGCATCAGTTTTAAAAAAGATTTTTATAATGACTTTATGTCAACATTAAAATGACTAATGATATCAAACAATTAAGTGTGACAATAATAGAGACATAAAATCAATAAGGAGGGAAATGCATTTTTTCCAGTTTTTTTTTATGACCTGACAGAATATTAAGGCCAGGCTAAGAAAAAATAATAGATCAAATTATGAGAATATAGTCATGATATTGCAAGAATAATCATATTATTACAAGAAAATGTACGAGAAATAAGTCATAATATTACAAGTCAGATGAGACTGATGTCCAAATAATATGAGAACAAAGTCATAATGTTATGAGAATAAGATCATATTTCCTGAATAATGTTGTATTAGAATGTCAAAACGATCCAAGAAAAGAAACCCTATACTAATATTGGCATACCATTGTAATATGGCTTTATTCTCATAATTTAATTAATTAAAAAAAATTCTTAGCATGGCCTCAATACTCCCTTGCAACAATCTCCCTCTCAAAAAAAAAAAAAAAAAAAAAAAATCAGGTCACAGGAAATAAAATCAAATCTCAGCCTGAGTTCAACTTTCCTCTTTTTGCTCTCAGGGAAAATGTGGCAATATTACGAGCCTTCATGTCTGTCGTCCTCAGGTCAAAACGAGTCTGGAGTGGCCGTCCATGACGACAGGATTTATGTGGTAGGAGGATACTCCATTTGGACCAACGAGCCTTTGGCGTGCATCCAGGTGAGAGCTGTGGCTGCCGAACGTGATTACAGCCGCAGTGTTTACTTTTGGAAACACGTGGCTCATTAAACGCACAAGCTGACTGATCGTCTACATACTGTATTCAACCACTGGCTGCGACACAGAGAGCGATTTTTTTATTTTTTTCATCTGCGTCTAAATTGAAGCCGCGCATTTTTAAGCCGTCCTAACAGCAGTTAGTTGGAGCTGCTCTCCACTTTTATATCTTGCAGGACTTGCTGCTAATCCATATAAACTCCATCAATAATCTGGGCCAAAGTGTCGACCGCTGTGAGTCACAAGCTGAAATGTCTGCAAAGAAACTAGGACAGAGCAAATATAGAAATTACGTAAATTACTATATAATAAAACACTATTTCATAAAAACAAAATAGAAAAATCACAACATTTATCTTTTTGTGGACATATTTGCCTTTTTGAAGATTGAATCGAAAGCCTCGCTGACTGAACAGGACCGAGATAATCCTGACATAAAACCATTCACATATAACATTTATTACGTTTATTAAACATGGCTGGATGAATATATGCCATATTAAAGGATTCCCGTACTGCTAGGCTGTCATGATAAAAAAAGAAAAAAAGAACATTTGCTGGACAATAAATTGTACCAAAGTTTATTGCGGTAAATTATAATTAAACTGTTTTGTTTTCATATTTTCAGGTTATATGAAGTTAATGACATAACAATGTAAGAACTCATTCTCAAAGACCAATAAACTTTAAATTGTAACGAACATTTAATACTGGAAGACATTTTGAATGTCTTCCATTTAAAAGCATAAATAAAACAGAAAGAAAACAAAGCTGTCCGTCAAAAACAGAGCTGGGTGAGACCAAAGCACCAAACCGAAGACTTTTGTCATGCGGTTTTTGATAGAACAAAAGAGAAAAACAACAAGAGCTTGTTTTAATGTATCGTGCGATTAACTGATTTATAGCAACAGTCTTTGGTACTACAGAATGAATTTCCTGTTTCAGGTGCTGGACCTGAGCACAGAGGGGAAGGAGGAGGTTTTCTACGGACCGACACTGCCTTTCGCCTCAAACGGGATTGCAACCTGTTTCCTCCCGGCTCCTTACTTCACCTGCCCCAACCTCCAGACGCTACAAGTACCCCATCACAGGATAGGTGCTGTGTAGCCCACTGACTTGGAAAACGCCTGAGAACCAGACGATGGATCAGCCGGCGCTTGCGAACCACAATGAGGAAAAGCAACCAGTAAAGAGAACTGGCTGCTCTAGTCTGGCTGTAACAGGGGAAGCCGTGCCGCTTCTTCGGGCCGTTCCTCCTGTATTAAGACCGGGACATCATTCAGACTCACCGGAAGCTCCGTCACCTCTGTTGAGAGGGACTGAGTTCAACTTAAAGTTGAGCGGTCTGACCAGCCACGGGAAACAGAAAGTTGCCGGAACCAACAATAGGGCTGTAAGTTTGTTTTCTACCCTGGAAACAGCAACAACAACAACAAAAAAAACACAGAAAAAAAAGTCAACAATGTCCATTGATTCCCATTTCGAGTTTCCTAGACGGACCCAGACGAACATGTTGCCGATGCAACGCTTGAATTAAATTATTTTTTTTTAATCACCTAAATGATGTGAATTTGACAACAGATTCAACATGTATGTAGCTGCGTTTCCATTCAAAATGTGCGCAAAACTTCTGTTGAAAAATACAAACTACATTTTCGCAATTGTGGCGTTGACATTAAATTGGAAACGCAATTAAAATCACACGTGAATATGTTTGTTCACATGGTAAGTCATTCAGAAACATTCTCCCGCCACTTCCTGTTGTCTTCTTTTTTGTCTTTTACACCAGTAGTAACAGCCGACTGTCGATCATGTGATTTGAAAAAAAGAGAAAAAAAAAGCGTCACAATTTTACGAAACGAACACATTTTGGCACGGCTGAAAAATCACTTAATCTTTGCGCAAAAAACTTTACCTAAAAATGTGAGGGTTTCCTCCCCTCCCCCCCCAAAATTGGGTTGTTTTCATTCACATAATTTAATTATTAACCTTCAATAATTTCAATTTGCACAACTATACGGTTGATGGAAACGCAGCTGGTGTGTGAGCTATTGAGGCTTTTATTTCCTCTCAGGACCCAAAGACTGTTTGTTCATGTTTTTAAATGAATGTCTGGACATTCAATCATGTGATACTTATTATTCTGCATTGTCTAACATTTGCTTTTACTAAAAAAGAGAGAGCGAGCGAAAAAAAAGTGCTCGCACATCCCTCATGTATCCGAAGCAACACGCCTGCAAGAATATATGGAAGAAGCTGCAGAATAAAGATGCTACTTAAAGGACATTAAAGCTTGGTTGTTGGCGATTCTTTATGGAGTTACGGATCATTTTACACAGATATTAAAACATTCTCACATTCCATGTGCTTTCCTCTCATACTGCTGCCGTCGCGGGGACAAAGTTTGCACCACTCACCGCCACCCCCACCGGGTGAGACGCTCCGCAGTCGAGACGAGGCTGAAAAATGACTAGCAATGACAGAAAATGGGAGTTGGGTGATTGTGGATGACAAGAGTGAGACTTCACGTGATTAGGTGCGAGCCAAATCCAGATTGCAAGAGATTGCTGCGACTTAGAGGAGGCGAGAATGAGAGGATCGGAACAAACAGTTCCCTCCATTCTCCCTTTTTTTTTTCCCTCTTCAAAGTCCTGAACTATCTGGAGCTCGCCCACGACTGTCATGATATCTACGAATTAGAGCGGAGACGGATCCCGACAGCTCTCTTTCTTTGCTACTTAGAGCTCAGAGGTGAGGATTTCTCTTTAAATACAGCAAATGTCAGAATGGAAAGCTGGACCTATTTTTTTTGACTTTTTATTTTATTTTTTTACAATATGTGCATAATGTACACCTCTGAAAATGTTCGGGTTCCACCTATTGTGCTTCTTAAGACGATTTTCTTGTCATTTCAGTGACGTGGTGGATGGTCCAGTTGAAAGTTCCGATTTCTCCCAGATGAAAAAGTTTGTTAGAGGAAAAGCTCTTAGTCGCTCTCCAGTCTGTTGATTTCCTCCTGCCCACTTTGCCCAAGCAGGGACAGCAACTTCATGTATGAACTCCTGCAACACAGCAACAAGTGTCACCTTACAAAAACAATAATATTGTATATTTAAAAAATCCCTGACTTCCTGTACAGACAGCTTAAATGTAGCTTAAAGGCTGCGAAAAACGTGCCAAGTTGACTTCCTGTGATTGATGGCGCTCACCTCAGGGCGATGTTCTTGCCCAGGCCCCGTTTGTGTTCGGTGCTCCTCAGACTGAGAGTCAGGCTGGGGATGAGCGCTCCAACCGCAGCCGGATCCAAGACGGCCACCGTCTCCAGGACCACGTACACCTGCCGGTCGTAGACGCCCGCGTTCTCCTCCGCGAACGACCTGAGAGCGTCGGGATCGCATCGAGAGGAAGTTTCAGGGTGAACCGCTCGTCTCCGCATTCAAACCATCAGAGATCTCCCAGCGTGTTCTAACTGCTGCCAATTCAGGGAAATGATATTTAGTAAAGTCACCGTAAGGCGGCGGTCGTCAACTCGCATGGTCTCACTGTAGACGCGGCGACGCATCGCTCCAGCACCAGCTGCAGCGCATCCGTGCTCATCTTCCTCACTGGGCAAACAATAACACACACACACACACACTCGTTAATTTTGTGTTTCCATATGAGTAAAATGAACTGAAGCCTTACAGTGACATTAATATCAGTTCATACACCTTTTTTACATTTCATCAATTGACAACCACAAGCTCTAGTTCTTTGTGTGTTTTCATCCAACAAACTCAAAAGTTGTGCACAAAGGTGAAACAGAATGAAAATCTGAAAAGTGTGGCACGCATGTAGCTGCAAATCTGTTGGGATTAAAACTGAAACTCCAGTCAAATTGAATAGAAAGTGGAACATAGGGATGCACGATATATCGGCGCTGACATCAGTATCGGACGATTTTAATCATTCCAATCAGGAAAACTAGGCCAATGATTTCAACTGATATTTATTTTCATCCGGTTGTTTTATTGACTTTTCAAAGGCGTTGAAACAGTATAGAAATATATGGATGTCAATATCGTTTATCGGCCATAGAATCATTGTTGATATCAGATATTGATATCGGTTCCTCCTTAGTGCCACGTATTAAAAAAAAAATCTCTCTTGACTTCGGTTGGTTGTCTTACCTGTCGGCTCGTTGACCAGCATCAAGCAACGCAGCAGAGCAGGAAGAGGCAGCGTCAGGAGGGAGGCGTCCGTGTCGGCGTTTCGCCTCAGCAGCTCCAACAGGAACATCAGGACGGACGCGAGGCGAGCCGGGAGGGCGTGGCTTTTGAACTGCAGGAAATTCTCGCTGCGAGAAGCAACAAACGGTGATTAGTCTGTTGGAGTTTTATAGTCAAAGGGTTCCCCAATCCTCGGCTGCAGAGGCCTACCAAAGCACCTCCAGGACCGTCCTCCTCAGCGCCGCTCCCCTGGCGGTCGGCGCGCCCTCACAGGCGCCCAGCAGCACCGGGTGATTGGCGACCACGCCCAGAGAGGGCGAGGCGGGGAGGAAGTGGTCCAGATATCTCCGGGTTACAGAGCGAAGCTGCTGCTTGAGGCCGGCACCCTGGGACTGAGACACGCCTGACGCCACCGACAGACCCTGGGAGAGGATTCGTTATCAGAGGAAAATCCTCAAAACAACGTGGCAGATGATGGTGTTTCTGGCTTGCGTCCAGCAGACGTCCGTCCTGACCTGCAGATAAAGCGGTAAGCTGTCCCTCAGCGCTCTGTCCTGCTGCGGGATCTTGGGCGGCAGCAGCAGCCCGTCCACGATCCGGAACAGCAGCGGCTGGGCTTTAGAAGTGGCCAGCAGGGGGCTCCAATGCTTCACTACGCAACCTGGAGACGCACAGCAACAAACCAACCCAACAATAATTACAAAAAAAGAGAACATTTCTGAACTCTACGCTGTGTTTACAGGCTGGTTCTCTACGTACCCACAGCCCAGTACGCCAGCTGCATCCCCTCCTGGTTCTTGCTGACTATGTACGGCTTCACATGTTTCAGGACGTCACCGATATAGTCCAGGGCTCTGGTCGCCATGGCCGACCGCTCCGGCAGCAGCTGCAGCCCGCTGTAAACACTCCCTACAGCCTGACGCCGTAAAACACATAAGGAGAGAAAAACGTTTGGCTCGTAAACACAGGCTGCCGCAAACCTGACATGACCAGGACACAAGCAGAATGTATTTTACGACATATTACACAACAACTTGGGAAAAAAAACAAAAAAAAAACAAGATATTTTGGAGTCAAAAGCCAGCAGTATAGTAAGATCAGTTCTTGCCAAATCATATATGATCATAAATACTGCAAGTGCATCTGTCACCAGTGAGAAACGGTCAGCAGCCATGTTATGACAATAGATTTTGCTGGATGATAAATTGTTATCTTCTAGTTTTTAGATCATTTTCAACTAATATAATGATAATAATGGCTTAATGATCCAACTTTATGCTCTCAAAACCCCCAAAAAAACAAACAAAAAAATGTTTGTACAAAGCACTCCATGCTGAAACTGGTGTAGATTTTATATATCCAAAACAAACAATAAATAAAACTGAAACCATTAATAAAATGTAGTCCAAAATTGCCCTTTAAAAGTCAGTCAAAAATAATCAGCAGACTGGAAATGAGCTCGTTTTAATTGCGATTTACTGATTTATTGATTTATTGCGACAGGCTGAAGTGTTGCTACCTTGACAAACGTCTCCAGGGCTGCAGTCGGCTCGGGAACGGCGGCCGGCGGAGGAAGTCCGGCTCTCTGCAGAAAGCCGTCCACCTCTGGCAGTCGCAGGACGAGCCGGGTCAGTTCGCACAGCTGCTCTCCCACCGCCCGGGCTGAGGCGAAAACAGGAAATATTCACAAACCGCAACATTTGATGACGAAGAAGTTTGGAGGAAGATCTAAAAAGCTGGGGCGTCCCAATAAATTTTGGGAGATAGAAAACGATCTTATCTAGTGATCTTCTCAACCTCTGAAAAGGTCTGAAAAACTAATAAGACTTTTCAAGACCTATTTAATGTCACTTCGGATGAAATTGAGGAGCAGAAACAAACTGAATATGAAGGACGTGTGAGGAAATCTGCTTTATTACAATCAAACATAGAAGCAGTGAAACGTCTTCGATCTGTTTGTGGATCTTTCCTATAGGCCAAGCAAGACTCTCACCCACAATGCACCTCTCCTCACATGAAGACCTTTGATTAACATATTTAAGGCTAATAATACATTTTTTTTAATGTAATGAAGGCATTTTAAGGCCTTGATCTTAGAAATGTGAATTTCAGGTGTTTGAAGGATGTGCAGACACTCTGCAGACTGAGTGGGCCTCGTTAACACCGGTCACACCACTGTTCTGTTCCCAAATGAGAAATTTCCACCCTATATTTCACTATTTTTTAGGCAACAAAATTGATATCAGACAAAGTCAAAAATCAGCAGGTCAGGCTTTTCTAAGCTCTGTGCTCGTTTCATGCACCTCTACTAGAAAGGAAAAACGCACCAGAAGCTTGAAATGGTGAGGATCGATGCGTCATAGAAAAATAAAAAACAAAAAAAAATCTTGATGGAATTCTAGACCCAATTACCCGTTTTGCTTTCCGTCCCGTCCGGGTTCTTGTGGAGGTGCTGCTGGAGGACGCAGCGGATCCAGGCCCTCACCGAGAGGCCCTGAGCCGAACCCGGGGCGCCGCCGCTGAGTGACGACGCCAGCTCACTGAAAGGCAGGTCATGTGTGTGAGGCGTCGCAGGTACGCTCCACGAGAAACAAACACAATATGTTGGCGGCCAGAAGCGGAGGCTGACGCTAAAAATACGAGGGGGAACGTATGCGATTTGTAATTTACACTTAACGCGAGCTGCTGCGGCGTTCACACTTCTTATTCTCTGACAGAAGGGCTTCAGCCGGGATTTACTGTTTAGTAGATGCAGAAATATGAAAATCCTTTTGTGTCGACAACAAACAAATGAGTCCAGCTACGCATAAGAGGATTGGATGCTTTTAATATTACATCTATTATAAATAACGCTTAAAAAGAGATTAAGATGTGAAAAAACCCCCCAAAAACTTCAAGTTTAGGACCTTGACGCCAATTCCGATGTTTTTGTGATGAGGACGGATGTGAAAGGCGGAGCCTGACCTGTTCTGGAGCAGATGGGGAAGGAAGCGCGTCACTAGGAGCGGGTGGACCATGTCGTCCCAGCCGAAGAGCTGCATGATGGTCTGAACCGGGTTGGGCTGCAGGTCCTGCGGGGCAGAACTGGGCAGGTCAAAGGCCAGCAAGGTGAAACCTGAAAGTAAAAGCAAACGAGTGTGAACGACCCCGATCCTCAAACTGGTGCAACGTGATCCAACTCTGCTGTTAGACCATCTTGGAATTTCACTTTAGCCAACTTCGATCGTCTGCATGGGCCTGGAACTCACAATTAGTTGAATAATTGATCATCTTTACGATTAATCGATCGATCAGACTTAAAAAAAAAAAAAGGCAAATTCTGAAGACATTTTCATTTAGACACTTAAGTCTTTTTTCATAAAAACATCAAGATATGATAAATAATTAACTTCCTTTTTCTAGACAACAGAAACAAAGATTTCATAGTCTAAAATGCGACGATGTTGCATTTTCGTGAACGTTTGATCATTTGAAGCAAAGAATGCAGAGAAAGAAATAATTTTAACGTCGGCATGTGAAAAGCTCAGCCCTTTCTGTTCAGTAGAGTTCAGGACGTTTGGATTCACAGATTCAGAATCGCCAAAAGATTCTTAACGGCAGATTTTGTTTGTTTATTGTAGAGATTTTGAACAGGGAGAATCAAAAGCTTCTGGGTTGAACATATGTACAGATATGATATTCATACAGTTTTAGTTTAATTCCTGTTCAGTGTCTTTTTCTTTCAGCAAATGGAGTCTGTATTCTCCAGGTACTGATTACTGAAATAGCCGACGATAATTTCAATATTCAACGAATCACAGTTAAGCCAATCAATCATTTCAGCCCTGCTTCTGGATTTAAAATTGTACACGTTTTTTTTTGTTGTTATCTTATTCTCTAATAAATATAAAAGTTTCTCTCTCTTTCTCGTTGTTTTTGTTCTCTCCCTCCATATTTTCCCATCTCGTTTTCCTCTCAGTGGGCGTTGCGTACCTGCAGCAGCGTCTGCCAGCTGGGCCGGCGGGGTCTGGGAGAGGCGTAAGCTGCGCAGGAAGGGGAAAAAGTGCAACCACAGAGCGGAAGCTACCGCTAGGTGGCGCTCCCTAATCACACTGGCTGGAGCCGGAGCTGGAGCCCAGGCCGGGACGGTCGCTGACTGGACGCTGCGCTGATGGACCCGTCTGGTAGAACACACACACACACACACACACACACACACACACACACACACACACACACACACACACACACACACACACACACACACACACACACACACACACACACACACAAATCCTTAAAACTCGAGAACAGATAAACAATTCTATAAAATGTAACAACACTCCCTCTTGGTTGGGCTTCAAAACTCCTCCCTCTTTTCCTTCCCCTTTGCTCCCTTGTTTCTGTCTTTCACTGCTCCTTCATGTCTCCTCTCTCTCTCTCTCTCCTGTCTCAAGGGGGATTACTGAGTGTGGTGGTGCGCTGCAGTGAGGAGGAGGGTGGGGGAGTGAGGAGGGAGGATATCACAGGCATACAGTGGAGCCTAATGCTGATCCCCTGTACACAGAGCGTAGTTTGGCTCGTCTGGCTCATCCCTGGCCCTGGCTAGCAGAGCAGCCCCACAGTGGCTGGCATTAGCCCCCGATAAGCAGCTGAAGGAGCTGTAATCTCATTTAGACTGAAGATGATCCTCCTGTCCCTCTCGTTCTCCTGGACGGCGGTGTGAAAACGCAGGGGTTAAAGTGTGCAGGAGGTTTGAGGAACTACCAGCATCCCCCTTTCCTTCCTTCCTTCCACACACACAAACACACACACACACACATGCGCGTCTACCGTCTTCCCTTCCAGCAAGGTTGCATCTAATCCAGAGAGCTGAGACAATCGATTAGAGTCTGAATTCATTAGGCTTGTTACTACAGCGGAATGGGCCTTTCACACCCATCAACCCTCATTGTACAAGACATCATCAGAAAACCTTCTTAATCCTCTCTCTTTGTGGCTTCGTATATACAGTACACACACACACACACACACAGCACGGCTAAATACCATTAGACTGTCACCCTTCCCCTCTTATTTGAGAGAAAAAGCAGGATTCTGTCTAAAAACACCAGACAGAATCTTCAGATGCAGCCAAGGACACAGGTTTCAATTCATTTGTGTCTTTTTCTAAGTGATGCAAGTTCGCACATTTATTTTCGAGAAAAAACATAAAATCCTTCTGTGTTTACGAAGTCGTTTAATGTGAATAAAGAGAACTGTTTTTATGGCTGGGCATTCGCAGGTTTCAGTAAGTCAAATTTATTTATTTTTGTTTCTGGTTTGTGTGGACTAGCTCAAAATTTCACACGCGCAAAAGTTCGCCTATCTCATGAACGCCTCATCGCGCCAGTTCTGTAGGCGACGTCGCCTTAAGTGTGCTGAGCTCTTTGCTCTCATTAACATAATCATAATCATATATTATGTTTCGACCCTATCCTACGGAAGATATGTTGAATTAATCGTTTGTGCAGCATAAGTAATATTAAAGAAAATAAGAAATCCTACAGGGCCAGCCAATGCCAGCTCATTGTCCGGTCAACCAATCCGAAGCAGAGGGTCATGGACAGAAAGCAAACTGAGGAATTATGGCGTCTTGCCTCAGGGCTGTGACCGTGAAGGGCCGCCGTCCGGACCCTCTGCCGCCGCCGCCGTTTGGCAGAATAATTCTCTTAATGTGTGCAGATTCCACATGGTTCTTAATAGACATAATGATGCACTGGCTAAATTTGCCAGGCTTCATAATTACTCATTAATTGTGTCACAGGGAGAGACATTAATCACAAAGAGATACCAAGAATCGCCAGGCTTTAGGAATTAGGTTTAATTCGGTGGGATGTATTGGAAAGAGGGGTCTTGTTTGGCTAAATGGGTCAGCCTGGTTCGAGGCATTAACAGTGGGGGGTCGGGGGGCGGCGGCTGCCTTTGGGAGTTCTTTCCTCTTTCCCTCCTTGGTCCATTAATGTGCAAATGTCTGCCCTGCCCTTCCCTCACATCGGAGTCCGAAAGTTTGGGATTACTGAAGTTAATGAGATGCGATGTTATAGAAACCAGACTGCGCACACCTGGGTCACTGTGCGGCTTTTGGGGTGTGGGCATCTGTGCGGGTTTAAGGTTTCAAAGATGGACCACCAGACCATTAAACCAATCCCCAAGCAGGCGAAATGGCAACTGCTGGTTTCACAAGGGTTCAGTTTTCCAGTTTGATTATCATTTATTAAGGTTTCTGACCTTGCAGAAATAACTAGAGGCGGTGAGACAAGGTGGTGCTGGCGGCATTGTGCAGTAGGGCTACTTGTCTTTAGGGCTAATCTGGTCAGATTTGGACCTAAATAGTAAAATATTGATAATGATTAGTCCTAGAGCTGGGAAAAAATTCGTAAGAAAACCTTTCTACTAGACAAGATGTTTATTGCTGAGAAACAATGGATGCCGTTTCTGAAAACACGAGAAAGGATCCAAAAACCCGATTCTTTAGTCTGTAACCCTCATCTCTGCTCCCCCTCGCCTCCCCGACCACATCAACAGACACTGTGTCCTCCGTCTCCCTTTGACCTTCAGCTGGAGTCGTTCATGTAACCAACACCCCCGTCCCGCGGATGAACCCGTCCTGATGCTCCACCGGCCGAACTTTCTAACAAAGCCGCAGCCCTGCAGCCGCTCTCAAAACAATGAGGGGCCCCATAGAGGTGTCCCCTGGCTCTGTAACTCTAATCAGGGCCCCGGCAGCACCTGGGGAGGGCCGTTTTGGGGTCAGCGAGCCTCCAGAGACACACACACTGACTTCACAGTTGTCCTTTTATCAGCATGAAGAGTCAGAAGCAGGAGAAGAAGAAGAATGGATGGGGAGAGCAAAACGCTCTCCTCTGCTAGTCCTGGTTCACTGATTTACAAAGTTCAAGACTAGAGTAGTCTTGATGCAGCTGCTGAGCGTTAACGGCAGCGTTCTCACCTGAGCTGAGCCAGGACGATCTGCAGGAAGCTCAGGACGGAGTTCAGCTCAGACTGACGACACGCCGGCAGCAGCCAATCGAAGCCCTCGCCGAGCAGCTTCTCCTCCGACAGGCCGAGGCCGGCGCTCGTCTCGAACACCTCGGCCACGCCCTCCAGGTAGGAAGCCAGGGGCCCCCAGAGGGCGAGCCTGCGGGACGCCTCCGTGGTTTTATTGTAGAACTCCTTGGCCGTCTCGTTGAAAGAGGAAGCCAGGCAGCCGGCCTGAGCGCCAACATCCAGACCTCTCTCCTGCGGAACGACAAATCGGTAATATCTCCAAACTCGTGGACGTGCTGTGGGAGGAGAGGCAGGGAATTATGGATGTTTTCACAAAACAAACCTGGAAAAGCAACAGCAGTGACAGTTGCCCTCTCCAGACCAGTGTTCGATGTGCGGGGGGGCAGTTAGAGGGCAAGAAGCCCAGCAGCTCGCAGGCTCTGCTGGCCACGTCCTCCAGCTCCGCCTGCCTGGCCACCACCAGGAAGAGGAGCAGGAAGTTCATGAGGCCGCCTTCAGACAGCTCCTGCATCTTCTTTTTTGAGAACTTAGAGTAAATCCTGGAAGCAGAGGACCAGAGACAACATGGTCAGAGGAAAGGGTCGTCAGAAAATGGCTACAGTGCTCTACAAAAAATTTAGACCCCCATAACAAGCACACATTTCAATGTTGTTGAAGGTTTACAAGACAAACCAACTCAAAGAAATCTGAAAATACTTCAATACTTTGTAGGAAAGAAAGCTGCACGATTTTGCAATACAAACCGAGTCAGACTGGATGAAATGTTCCTTTTCCCTCCATTTGACATTTATTGCACTACTTTGTATTAGTCACATAAAATAACAATAAAAAGTAGATTGAAGCTTGTGGTTGTAGACAAAATCTGGAAAAAAGAATCAGCCATTGAACAGTTCTGTTTTCTGTACCAATTGTAGTTTTCTGACCGATCTTTGATTATCGATCTTTAAAAAGTCCGGCCTGCCGATTCCAATTTTGTCCGATACAGAATTTGGCAAATGTAGCAACAACATTGTTAGATCTTTGCTAAAATGTGGGGTAACTCATCCATGTGACATGACCCGGTCAAATTCTCAGAGGAGAAAAAAAACAAAAAAAAACACATGCACAGAATAGACGGGGATTAAATGGGCCAGTCCAGACAACACTCAAGGCTTGTGATCAACATAATAAAAGATAACTTTGTATTTTTAATGAATTCAAGACATTTTAAGGCCTTCATTTTGATGCATAAATTTAAAACTTTAAAAGGATGTCAGGATGAGATCAGCTGAATCGGCCGATCACTCAAAATAAAAAAATCAGGGCCGATTTTTTTGATGTGCTCCCAGTTTTGTTTTTTTCCCTTTCCATTTAAACTTTTTCACCAAAGCTAAACTGATGAGGAGTGTGTTGGGTTTTTTTTTTTTTTAAGCGGAAGGAATGATTTTAAATGCTGACAAAATGAACTCTCCACTCCCGCTGTGCATCTCATCAAGCGCTTCCATCACCCCCTAATCTCCAGGAGAGAGTCTGACCTGCCCAGCTTCTGCATATATATGTGTGTCAGAGTGAAGGAATAAGCAGGAGCGTGAGTGAGAACACAGAACCACCCAGCACGCCGTTAGATCCTGCGGGCGCTGTGGAGAAATGCCTTTAAAGATCATGTTAAATGTCAGAGACACTCAGACACGCAGCGGTAGGTGCTCGGTCCCTCTCTCCACAGCCAAACCAATTTACTGCAACACCAGCGAAAGATCAATAAATCCACACACACACACGCCCGGCGCCACACACCCAGCCCCGCTGTTTGCCTCCCTGGCAGGAGAACACAGAAAGCGAAAGGCCCCTGCATTTCCCTCCAGCCCCTTCGCCCCCTTCAGCCCCATCTCCCAAACACAGCTGCAGCCCACACAGGTGAGCCGAGCTGCTGTTTGGGTCAAAACACAAACGGCGCATCCCGAGACAAACCGAAGTGTAAAGAGGTACGGCTGAAGCAAAAGGATCGCTTTAAACCGATGGGGGGAGGAGAGGGGAGAGAGACCAGGTCAACATCAAATCCGGCTTCTTGACGCCCACAGGAGGCTGAGAGAGGAGAGAGTGGCCAAGCATGCGGTCAGAGCTGGAGGGGAAGGAGATTTAAATACATGAGTGGATAATATGGTACAAGCAGCACACTGCGGGTTTTTACTGTTTTCTCCCAATTTGTTTGTTTGTTTATGTCACTTTTTTTTAAGCGCTAGCAGATGTTTCCAACTTCTGGTAACACAATCGATTGCGATTCCGATTGTCGTCGGTGTCCTGCCAATAGTATAGATGATAAGTATTATATCTAACAGGGATACAAGTGGCACACTGGGGATTTTTCCATCTTCTCCCAAGTTGTTTGTTTATCTCAGACGGATTTCTTTCTTTTTTTCCCCTTTTTTTAAAGAAAAAAACAGCTGATTATGGAGCAAACAGCTGTTCCCAACTTCTGGCACCGCAATCGATTCTGATCCTGATTGCCGCCGGTGTCCCTCTCCGATAATCTGGATAATGGGATAAGAACAACACACCGGGGATTTTTTCCGTCTTCTCCCAAATTGTTTGTTTATCGCATACGGATTTCTTTCTTTTTTTTTTTAACAGATATTTGCAACTTCTGGCACCACAATCGATTCCCATCCCAATCATCGTAGAAGAGAGCGTCGCCGAGACGTCGCGGCGAAACACTCGGCCTCCGCCTTGTTGGGGAGGGGGTGGGTGGTGGGGAGGGGATCGCTCCAGTGGAGGGCTGATGGATCCATCCCAAGCGGAGCCCGGCTGCTGCCAGGGCCCCCCCCCCCACCCACCCCACGGCAGAACCCCGAGCTCCACGCTCAATCCGTGTTGGAAACCAGCGCGGCTTCGTTAAGGCAAATTAACCGCCACGCTCGTTAGCTAATTAGCCCCCATGTCTGCGGTGCTACTGAGCACATTCCAGACAGAGGGAAGTCATTAGCCGGATTTATCCGCGGCTGCTGCTCTCTGGCACGGAGCCGCCTTGGGATGCGGCGCCGTCCGGCGATGGGAACATCAGCTTGTGAGATGTTTAGCTTTGGGTTCCCTTCTCCCTTCAGCGGTCGGCGTTCCCGGGAGCAGGTGCGCCACTGTGTGTTTGTGTGTGCAGCGGTAGGTGGTCTCCTCGGGTCTGGCCTGCACTCAGGAGCAGGTGGTTGACTCCTGAGACACCTGCTCCGCCGGTGGGTCCGAGTAAATATCAAAGAGTCCGCCGGTGCACCTGGCAAGCACACAGACACAACTCGACTACTCCAGAGTTGGCAAACGCACACGGCGTGCGAGCGATACCCCAGGTACGCAACTCCACACACAGACAAATCCTAAACAGCTGTTTAAACAAATCGCACGTTTGAAGATCAAGGAAGGAGGGGGGGCAAACTAATCTTGTAAATCCTTGTCCACAACGGTCCAAAGAAAACACCCCCAAATCCCTGCTTTACAATAGATGTGGTGTTACGACAGCTGCCTGTGTGTAATTCCTGCTTTTTCAAAATGGAAGCAGAAGTCTCGCCTCCGTTCTTACCTCCCCTTGATCTGCCTCTGCGGCGCGCCGCCGGCCCTGTCCTGGCCGAGGCACAGGGCCAGCACTCGAAGGAAGATGTGGAACGAGTTGGCGGATCTGTAGAGTTGGGCGTGGCCCGGAGAGCGCGGGGCAGAGGGGCAGCAGCAGCTGCGTGCCTGCTCCAGCAAGGCCAGTGGCGTCTTGCAGATGGCGCCCAGGCCCGACACCCCCAACCATGGCACGGTGAACGAGGAGTTCTGCAGAGGAGCGACCCGGTCAGGGTGTTAGTTTTACACAACGCACCAAGAACTCCTGGGGACTGAGTGTTGTGGATTTCAGAGTTGAATATCAAAGAATAGGTAAGACAGTGTACATAAAACAAAAAAGACAAAGTTCTAAACTTTGTTGTAAGTGAACCACACTGATTATGGGGTTTTACTAATCATCTTTCTAACATAAGTCTTTTCTTTTTTTTTTTGCCTACAGTGACTTTTTTGGTTAAAAACATCTTTAGAAAAGATGGTGATTTTTTTTGTCAACATCACTTTTAGCAAAGAATAACTAAAGTCATTATTTTGGGAAGGTGATAATATGGAACCTTCAAAAACCATCCATGCATGGACGGACAGACGGACGGACAGAAGCAGAAATGTATGGAATCCGTACCACAAGAACTCATGTTATACAAACATGATTCTCTTTTTCGTCATCCTCATCCAAACCTGGAACATGAATAAAATTCCGGATTCTCCAGACCGTGGCTCAAACAAAGCAGCTTATCGAAGCAAAACATTTTGTGATACTGTGTCAGTATTTCCCACTGATTAAAGCCCTCACCAGGTTCCTGCTGTAGGACTCCCAGAGGGCGGAGACAGCTGCTGTGCTCGGCTCCCACAGCAGACACAGACTGAGGCAGCAGTGCACATGCATCCTCATCTGCTCTTCTGCGAGCCCAACCTAACATTAAATGACAAATATATTGGATTCATTACAGCTAACGATTGCATTAATCTACATAAGTAAGCATTTTAGAAACCGTATAAACCTTGGGGTCACAGGTCTTCTTCAGCAACCCCTCCACAAATGTCCAGTTATCCTCCAAATATTTCTGAAATCACAGGGGGAAAAAAAGAAGACTTTTTAACATTTAATATAATCTTTCCCAGACCACCATGTCAGGAGAATATGACTCTCTATAACATCTCCATTACATGTTATCAGAACTGAGTCAAACGGTCTCTCACCTCATTCTGCATTGTGCCGTTGCAGCTGTACTGGCCCAACATGGCCAAGTGGGTGAGGAGCCACCATGTGAATCCCAGAGGGTCTTTACAGTGTGTCAGAGGACCACCGAGGTGCTCTGGTGCAGGCTGCCCATCTACCAGAGGCTTCAGCACGGGGTTCATGTAGCTCCAAAACGACTAGAGGACACGCGTCGCAGTTAGCGCAGCGTTGACACAACTTATCGCGCGGCGGTTAACATCAGTGTCGCTCGTTGTTACCTGCGTGCGCAGAGCTTTATTTCTGTGCTGCAGGAGGTGCATGAGCAGCAACCAGAGCTCTTTGGTGCAGAGGCAGAGGAAGGGACTGCTGCTCAGCGTCTCCGTAGGTCTCACCTGGAGAGGAAAAGCTTCTAATTAACTTTCACATCTGAAGTTTTATTAGCCAAAAGGATTTTTGGGGTTTTTTTTTCTTTCAGCTTCCAAAAAGTTAAAAGTTTAAGATAACAGCGCTCTGTTGCTCTGTAACCGTACACAAGTCGATCTACGAAGTTGCAATGATTGCAGCTGTTGGCGCAAATTCTTCTCTGACCAGTCACTGCACTCGACTGAATTGTGACCAATCCTCTCAGCCCCCTAGTAATTCTCTTTAACTTCCTGTTTCACGACGTATGTTAAAACCTGCAAGATGAAAACACATCTGACGCTTAACGGTAGCATTTGCCTTTTTTGTGAGTTCTGAGAAACATTTTGAGATACTCTATCAAATTTGCTTCCACTTTATATACAGTTCATGTTAACTTAAATGGCCGTATATGGATTTTTATTTTATTTTTTTAGTTTTGACAATTCCTCAGAAAAAGATTTCATTTACATTAAGGCTGCTATTTCAAAAAGATTAGCCTACTTTAAAATATTTTTTGAACTTTAGATCTTTACTATATTAAAATCCTTTAGTTTTAGGGAAGGTTACCTGGAGCAATTTCAACTTTTTTTTTTTTTCAAAAGACCATCTTATGGTAAAAAATAAAGCTTAAAAATTTGCTAATTTGAACAAAACCTTTTGAAAAATCAGTAATTCTAAGGCTGCTACAACCACAAAAAAAACATCACATCATCCTGGAGGAAGTTAAAAAAATCTACCAATAGAACTAGAACATTTTCATCAACATTAAGGAATTATTTACATTAAACAAGCTTCTATAGCTTGCTGAAAAGTTACTTGTAAGTTAATTTTGTCTTATTTCAAGTTTGCTAAGACATTTGCACTTGAAACTGGACCAAAAAAAATACTTGGTAAGATTTTATGCTTTTGCAGTGTGTAGTAATGATATGAAATCAGCGTCACACTCTTAACTAGAAGAACAAGCGGATGACTTTCCCACCTTGCTGTATTTGCCCGAGGCCAGAGCCGTCAGGTCGCACAGCAGGGAGGCCAGGTGCTCCTCAAACAGACTCGTATCGGTCAGGTTCTCCCCCGTCAGGTTCACGAACCGGTGGGCGTAAATCACCTGGCCTGCGGACAGTTCCCACGACAACAATGACGTGATGCGACACACAGACCCGCTCGTTCGCTTTGTGCTCCAGATCCTTGCCTCGCATCTTGTGAGCCAGCACATGCAGGATTTCCAGGACCGACCAGTGAATGTCGAGATGAAGGTGCAACAAATGCCAGGAGGGAGGAAAAATCTGCGGGTAGGATTGGAGAATTTCAAGCTCAGTGTCAATAAAAGAGAAATTAACTGAGCTGTGGGAGATTAAGAAAAAAAAAGTTAGTTGCAATCACTTTATATTGTTTGCTTTGACTCATCCCATGCAGTGATTTTTACGCATCACAAATTCCACCCAGTACTTGTACCTTCCCGTGGTTTTGCATACTGAAGGCTGCCTGTACACCTGAGGGCAGGTCTTTGAGTCGTCCTGTCAGGAGAGTGACGGCGAACAGTTCCTCCAGCAGAGCGGAGGGGAACTGCTGCTCCAGCTGCTCGTAGGGATGCGAGTGAGCTGCGTCCAGACACGGTTCGAAGTACCTGCAGGGTGACGGGCAGAGCAAAAAATCCAACATAAAACATCACGGGCAAGTACACTGAACTACATTGATTAAAAATATATATATATATTACCTGTGCAAAAAGACTTTGACATACTGAAGAAATGAAACACACTGCTGCCGAAGGTCCTCCGATTCATAATGCAGGTTACCTGCTTGTCCTAAAAAAAAAAAAGTGTAAGCAGGTATATCGGGAAAAGTCAGACATATGATTTTTTTTTTACCCATTCTTCTTAGAATAGCTCAACAGAATCAGACTGGGTGAAGAATATCTAAAACCACAAATTTCTAACAAGGATTCATGTCTGGACTTTAACTAGGCCTTTTAAACACAGGAATACACATTGCAATGTGTATCTGACTGGATGTTCAAGGTTGCTATCTTGTTGGAAGGGGAACGTCTGTTCTCTGCTGGAAAAAACAAACAAACCATAACCCACATCATGGTGCCATGATGCTGCCACCATCTTGTTTCACTGTTAAGACGGAGCTTTCCGAATTATTGGCAGTGTTAGTTTTCCCCAACAACTTTCACTGTACTGCATGTTGATTGAAAAGCTCAGTATTGATGTTAGAGCACTTTATTGTCCTCTACAATAGGTAAATTCCTATTAGGCCTGCCGATAAATCAACTGACCGAATGATAAAATGAGCTCAATAATTTCCATTTTCATGATTTATTGTTTTCTCTTTTCTGTCTTTCTACCATAAACTGGATGATAAAAGTCTTCAGCCCGGTGCCTTGGTCTCAACAAAGCCTTTTCTGAGGGCAGCTTTGTGAACAGTTCTGTTTCCACAAACTTCATAATTCATTCGATTTGTCATTTCTCTCTTTTTGTTTATTTATTTTGGATATTTAAAATGTCTTCCAGTTCCAGTGTTAAATGTCCAGTAGAATTTGTAGTTTATTGATCTTCAAGAACAAGTTCTTACATCAGTATGACATTATCATTACATTTCTTGAAAATGATCTCGAAAGGACAATATTATCGTTTATTGCAATAACTTCTGGGACAATTTATCGTCTAGCAAAATGTATTATTGTGACAGGCCTGCTTTCTGTGGCTTATTCAAGTTAATCTTGTGGTTACATCAAAAAGACAGGGCAGGAGGGATTTTTAATTGTACTTCTAATCCGACTTACCAAAGTCATGTGAGCTGGACTGAACCAAAGTCTCCAACTTGTAAAATGTTTGTCTGAAACACAACAAACCAGAGTATGAAGGAGCAAACGGGCTTTCGTCATTGAACCTCATGTCTAATGGAAGACAGCGTGTGATTCAAGTTCCCCACCGAAACAGGCCGAAGAGCAATTTGGTCGACTCCACCAGCGCCGTTTCGGTGACCCAGGGGAAGCCGAAAATCTCCGCCGTGTCCGCCTCAAATTCCGCAGGGGCCGGGTCAAGACGCAGCAGCAGCCTGCAGAGGGGAAGCAAGAGACTCTGATCACTCAAGCTGTACTGGTCACGCTTCTCTGTGAAGAATGTCAGCGTTCCTGGCGGATATGCTTTAGCCCCGGATGTTGAATATACCGTTTCAGGGATCCCCGTCCAAGATAGCCCTCAGAGGACAGCGCTGCAGCCTGCTCGTCTTTAGCTTCACAGCAGCTGAAACGGGGCGGCGGAGCGGCCGCCAGGTCAGACCGGCTGTCTGCTGCAAAGGGGGACACTGGTGGAGTGAGGGACTCGCTGAACTCCTCCGCCATGCTGTTGGTGCACCGTCAGTTTAAACACGATTAAAGCTATTTTAAACATTTGCTGCACAAAGTACAGCGCAACATCAAACAGCGCAACAGTGATAGCAACCAAAGTCAAAGCAACTACAATGAAATCTTTACAACCAGCAGCTTTAAAATTGTGAAATAAGCTCTCAAACTGCCTTTTAAAAGCGGCCATTTTTGCAACAAAACGATTTGACATGCGTTTGTACGGTTTGTCAGATACCGTTTTAATAAAATATCTTACCCTTGACTTCAAACTCTCCTTTATTTTTTATATTTTGTGGAAAATACCGCTTTAAATCAATAAAAACTGGCCAGTCGTCATTACTGTTGTTTTGGTTTTCGGGCTCTCCCGCGCCTTGATCATACGCATGCGTAAAGTCTCCTCGCGTCTTGATTGGTCAGAAGTTTCAACGGGGAGTGTGACGTGACCTGTCTCGGAAATTTGACAAGAGGTTTCCCTGCAGAGTACTTCCTTTATCGTCAGTTTGTTTAACGAGATAACTTATGTTTGAGCTATTATTTGCATTAAATGTAATATATAGTATTAAATATACTAGATAGCTTTCCTTTTGAGCCCTAATCGTCCATGACATGACAATTTTAGGTCCTTAACAATAAAGCGACCGAGTTTATTTTCCCATTACCTCGAACAAGAAGAAAAACCAAGTCAAATTATTTTCCATTTAAGGACTTGGTAAATGTCTACGTTTTTATTTTCCTTAAAGTCTGCATTATCTAAATGTTGGAGACTTTGCGAAAACATATTCGAAATATAAGCCACGGTACTTCGAAACATCGGCATTTCATACATTTTCAACCCATTTGTTACAATGGACCCTCATGTCGATTTATAAGTGTCTTCCTTGTCTTCCTCCCAGCCTAATTCAACATGATGCAGCAGTTATAGCAGCATTTTAACCACGCAGACCCTCATTTCCATATGCAGATCTGTCTCTCCCAGCCGTACCTCTCGCCATCACACCATTTCTTGCATTCTAATGCATTCTCACATCTTTACAAAATCCCCCCTCTCTCTTCCACCACACGCCGAGGATGTGCTCCCTTTTTCAGTCCAGCTAAAACCCTGTCATTTCTTCCCGCGTGAGCCTTAACTGTCCCTGCCACGAGACGCACACTATAGCAGGCTGTTTTGCATGGTTTTACTTTGCATCTTTTATCAATACGAGTCAGCGGAGTCTCGTATTGAAAGCAGAAGAAGAAGAAAAAAAAAATGGACGCGACAGGAATCTTTTCTTTTCTTTTCCGTGTGGAAGCGTCGACCTCCCGCTTTGCTTTCAACGGGAGACTGAAGTCCGTTTGTGAGAAGGCTCTGTCTATCGCCTGGATGAGAAAGGTAAATGCCTTCTCTTTTTTTCCCCCTGTTCCGACTCTTACGAACCCGTTCTATGCTGTGATGTAAAGTGGGAGTGAGAATTGAGCCTCTTTCATCCCTCTCCCCCCTCCTCCCCTCGCCATCACTGTACTCCCGTCTCCAAGCTTCTTCTTTTTTTTTTTCTACATTTTCTGTGTTCCCCTTATTTTTTTGTCTGGAAAAGTACCCCCCCCCCACGCCCCCGCCCCCCCCCAAAAAAAAGAAAAAAGAAAAAAAAACAACTTTAAAATAAAGGACTAACTAACAACTTCTTTTTTTGGGTGGTGTGGGGGATGAATTTATAGTCCATATCAATGTTGTGTAGCAGCAGCAGCAAAGTATAAGAGGATTGTGCCCATGCTATGCTGGATGGTTTTAATATGTTCAGGTGATAACCTAATGCTGTAATTACTTGCACCCTTTCAAAGGGATTTAATGAGCTCAGTGTTAAGAAGAGAGCACTTCTGCTGTTGGAAAATTTCGTCTCAGTATGATCTAACGTATTGCTCTTCATCACCAGTGGAGTTACTTAACCTCAGGTTAGCTCCTCTGCTGCTTTCTGTCATGACATTTTATTGATCAATATTTGATCACCTGATAGTTGATAGTTAACAAAGGCTGCACAATTCTTAGCGCTGTTGCGGTGAAGCAAGAAAGTCCTGGGTTTGAATCTCAGTCTGGGGTCTTTTATGGAGTTTGAATGTTCTCCTTGTGCATGCGTGGGTTCTCTCAGGGTACTCCAGATTCCTCCCTCAGTTCAGAAACATGATTGTTAGCTTAATTGTTCTCTCTGAATTGCCCTTACACGTGAGTGTGTGTGTGTGTGTCGGGATGGATGTCTGTCCTGTGTGTGTCACTGTGATGGACTCGCAACCGACCCCCAGCCTCTCACCCAATGTACCTCTGAAGCACCAGCCCATGGGCTGGTGCCCACCCAATGGGCACCAGCTTCCTTGCTGGTAGTTAGAAAAAGTAATAATTGCATTGACAATAAAAATGACAATGTGTGCTGTAAAGACGTTTAAAAGCAAGTTAAAGGTACTTATGGTCCCTCTGTTATCCCAGTATAGTCACATTTTCTGACATTCACACAGCAGCCAATTTGGCACCAACTATATGCTACTTTCAAAGCAAATGAAATGGCCCTTTGTCCTCCATTAGTATCAGATCACTCTTACTGAAAGCTATAAAACAGAGATATTCAAATATGATGCAAAGAAGACACAGGTGCTTGAAGAACATTACAATCTTAACTACAAACAGAAACTGCCAGAAAGAGAGGTGGTGCTGAAAGTCCTTTGGAAATATCTATGTAAAATATGGACAACTACACTGGTGCTGTGTTTTGGGTACAGTGCTACACTGATTCACCTCACAGTTGAGAATAAAGTTCTTCTGATGCGCATTGTGCCCTTTCTGCTCTGGCCGCAAAACTCCGGGTTTTTTTATTTCAGGTAAGTCCAGACCTCAACAAAACAAGGAGATTATTAGCTATGAGTAAAACAATTTTAATATCAGATAATATGTAACAAGTCAAACAGAGAAAATTATAATAATAAGAGAGTCAGTCACTGTCCGGTTCCACAGTCCGCCTTAAGGGTGTGTCAAGAAAAAGCTAAAGAGGATTTGCAACATCTGTATTTATCCACTAAGCTACACCCCCCTACAGGGGCTGGTGGTCTTTCCCTGTGTAGGTCAGTGTCTATGTGTGATCAGAACCAGTCTTAGCTGATTGTTGTGTTGGGTTGTGGAGAAACTCAGGGTCTCATCTTTGATTCCATTCTGTTTTCTTTGTACAGGCTTCCACTCAAAAGAATCACATTGAATTCATTGCGTTAACCATCAGCCAATCTAATTGAACTCTTTTTCCAAATGTTTCTTCCAACTGGTCATAATGGTCAACATGATTATTTTTTTCAATTTGCTTACATAAGTCCTAATTGGGCTTTCTGGGATGAACATGTACAAAACAGTGATGAAATTATTGCGGATTTTCATAACCAAAAACATGCAAACAATGCATTTGTGTCGACAACAATGAAAGCGGTGACAACAGCTTTCATTGAAGAGTTTTGTGTTTCAGCTCCGAAGGTATATAGTAAAAGCTCAGAGTGTCTTTAAAAAACACACACAAGCATCGGCACACAACGCCATATATTTTCATGCACCTTTAACTCCTTGGTTTGTCCTCGTAGATCATCAGAAGTTGCGATGGATGAATGAGCTTCTTGTTGCCTCAGTATGTACCTGCCGCCATCAGACCCTGGAAGTAGACTCGACTTTCAAAACATGACCTTAAAACTTAAAAAAAAAAAAAAAAAACGCCGGGCATAATAATGTGAACGTTGTGAAATTGTGTTATCGTACGACCACTTTTATGACCTTTTGGACACCCTTGACAATACAGTTTCACCATTAACTCCTCCTCTTTAAGAACTATAGTCAGAGGCCGGTAATGACTTTGCATAATGAGTTACATCTCTTTTTTTGTGATGGCTCTGCTCTCTGAAAGATCTCTGTATTGTACAGAGGAGACTGCTAGTCTCTTTTATCTTAAAAAAAAAAAACCCTTGTGGCTTCAGTTTGATCAATTAAACTCCTGAAAGGACCTTCCTCCTCTCCCCTCTTTTTCCTCCCCGTTGCTTTCCATTCCTCTGCCTGAGAGGAATATAAAGTTATCTGTCTTCCCAAGCGATATGAGGGCGGAAATAAGTAGTTTGTCTATAAAAATGTCCAGGTACTTTATCAGAGTCCCAGTAGGCCCCGAGGGCCTGACACTGTTCAATGTGGCTCCGCTGTACTTCTGTTCCCTCCCTCTCTCCCTGTCTACTTTGTCTCTGCCAGAGGCCAGCTACTGGCTGGGTGGGGTGTAAGCTGGAGGAACCCCCCTCTATCCTCCCTCAACACACACACACACACACACGCATGTTGGATTGACTGGGGCTTGAGCCCCCAAGTGAGGCTATCGATTTCAATCAGCGGCTTGGGAGATAGGAGCTGAGTGATGCTGTAGACTTTAAACAGTGGTCAGCTGTGCCGTTTGTTGTTCGGCGAAGAAATGCCGCAGGAGGAGAGGCTCTTTGCCTCTGATGAGAAGTCGGATAAAGACACAAACAGAATTACTTCTTCTGAGAGATGTCTTCATCTCCTGGCTCTGGAGGGTGTTTTTTTTTTTTTCTCCACGGACGGGTGTTCTGGAGGCACGGTTAATAAAATCAAGTACGAAATGTCGAGTGTCGTCATTGTGCGTACATGGTAGAATTGCGGGAAGATCTAAAACGACGATCTACGGAGAATAAACGACATCGATGAGGAGTTTCTGACGTGCTTGTATGTGGCGCTTATATAAGGTGTATGGCAAAAAACTTGAGCACAAATTCCCTTAATTTGGATTTTAGGCTATAGATGAACACAAAGTTGCATATATTTGAAAAGAGGAGGGAAAATGATCCACTGTATTCTCAACATCTGCAACAAATGAAAATGTTAAAAGCATGCCATGCATCCATAGTCCCTTTTACTCTTTAACTAGCCAATCAGAATCCAGTTAATCTCAGGTAAGTGAAGGCTTTAGCTGCGTTGGAGAACATTAGCGAACGCAGCGGGAATTTATTTATGGAGAAGTTGGTGGAGTTTCTCATTTAAAATTTTGAATCCAGTTAATTGCAGGGTCTGTAATTGATTAATCACAATTAATTGCATTTTTATCAAATGTCATATATCAATAAAGAAGCAACATTTTAAATTCAAAAACCATTTTTACTGCTAAATTATTGACTTAATAGACAAATGAACTCAAGGGACATGGAAAACATGTGAGAAGCTGCTCTGGTCAGGGAAAACTGAAATGTTACTTTTAGAATTGGGTCTAAGTAGAAATGTCCTTAATTGTCCCACAGTGGAAAAAAAATTAGGGTTAACAGAAGCATCAGGACATGTAGGTTCACGCAAAGATGAAAAGTAAAAACATAGAACAGACAAAATCAAGAATTACATGGTATATGTCAAAGACAAGATTACAACTTAAACACAACATGCAGTAGTCAGAAATAATGCACTGCAATCCAAGAAATGTGCAACTGAGTGGAATCCTTTTTTAAAAAGTCGACATAATGTGCAACAATATACGAAAACTGAAAACAACAGAGATGTAGAAATAACAGCAGAAATGTTATTGAAGGTGAGTAAATAAATTTGGCCTACATGCAAAACGCACTAGGTGGGACAAAACTGTAATAGTGTATTATAGAGGTGGAAGCATCATAATCAGCTTCCTCAAGTCAATTTGAATAAACAAACAATGGAAATAACTTTTTTTACCTTAGTGGGCAAATTCACCTGCAGCAGGAATGTGAAACATGTACACAATAACAATATGGAAACATAACTGATAATATCATCCTGTACAGTAAGGGTAAATATACAACATAGGAAATATTGTTATTAAAATTAGCCTAGTCCGATTGAGGGGGAAAAAAGTGCAACGGAGTAGGAATATTTTTTTAAAAAAATGACACAATGTGCATCCATGTTTCTGCATAAACCACAGACTATATACATAAAGTAAGAAAAACATTGTAAACAGCAGCAGGAATGTAAACACTGAGTTTGACTTTGATGCTAGCAATGACGGCTCTAGACTCTTAACAGTTGCTGGGAGGAAGTACCTACATTAATGCTTCTTTGTGCACATAGGAGGCAGTAGACTGTCACTCCAGTTCAACAACAGCTTTGTCCTAGTCCAAGTACAGGTTGTGGGAAATCCCAATAAAATGAGGCAAACAACAAAAGTGTTCTAGGGGTATGAATACTTCTGCAATGTAGATGAATGATGCAGCTGAGTTTGCAGAGATGTCTTCTTAACTACGACTAATATTATGTTGTGAAGTGAGTGGAAGTTGAAGCATTTCATGTGCTTCCACTCTACATGCGACCGTCGGGTTGGTCAGCTTTGGGTGACAAGTGTGAGGCAAACCCTTTTTTTTCGCTCCATCATTGTTCAGAAGAAAACACAAATGCAAAGACTGATGAAGTTCCTGTTTTGCTCAAACAGGGAAGTTAGTTCGCACAGTGCTGCAGCTTTTTTTTTTTTTTCCGTTTTTATTTTATTTTTTCCACCTCTCAGAAGTATTTGCATCAAGGCCAGGAGATTAAACGTGTGGGTTGGGAACTGGAGAGAGCGCGTTGTCTCGCTCGGGGCCCCCCGGTGCCAGAGTTCTCGCTTTCATCGCGCGGGGTGAGAGATTTCTCCTGGACGTTTTTCGGGGCTGTGTGGCTACAGGTGGGTGGCTCACATCTTGTAGGTGGCAGCCGCTGTGGATTTTATGTAAAAGTACAGAGGAGGTGGCTGTGGGCAAACTGTTTCACAACTGCCAATGTTCATTAGTCTGCTGCATGGATCCCACACTGAAAACTCACTTTGTGTGCTTAGAGATGGCGTTTTAATTCTGCTGATAATTGTCGGAGGTTGCTATGAAAATTCATAAAGCAGCCTTTTGTCTACATGCTTTCAGAAACAAAGAAGGGAAAGAAATACATTTCTCTCAATACTAGTGAAAATATACATCTGATGTTCATTATTACATGGTACACTGATCACATAAATCCGTTTAATTACACCATTTTGCTGTGAATCATCAACTACATTAATTTTGAGAATGATTAAGATCCCACCCCCTGTATTTAAAGGTTTTGTACCACCTTGTTCAAAAAAGCTCCAAAAATAACTTGGTGATGCAATTATGTCAAGCTTTGGTGTTGTGCCGTTTAAATGGCATGCGTAAGTGCTCATTAAAATGGGATTTATTTTTTCTTTTTTTTTCCCCGGCTATAGTCTCCATGTTCAGTGGACCTTTACTGGTGTGCTGCATCCTGCTGCAGAGGAACCTTGCGACCACAGAGGGGCATCATGGCACCAACCGCCACGTCTTCTACGCCGTCCAGATGAGAGGAGGCGCCAAAGCCGTCCGAGCTCTGGCCGAGCAGCACGGGCTGGAGTTCATACAGCGGGTCAGTGCACGTTGAAGACCCCTCTTAGGTCCTCCACCTATGAGGCCGCAAAGTAGCAAAAATCCTGCAAGCGTGGACTTTTTTTTCCCCCCGTCTCTTTCTTCTTCTTTTTAAGAGCTGCCAAAGTGCTGACTTCTATTTCCTACTTGAGGGATATCTGACTTTCATCAAATTACAGCAGCATTTCAGAATATTTCATATCTGATCAAAGATGCTCAGAGAAGCGCCTTCACAGACTAAAACACGCCATACACAAACGCGCGCCCTACACGTATAAGGAGACACATGGCGTCATGGGCAAATACACAAAATTTATCAGCAGGCAGCTCGTCTCTGCTGTGAGAAATTCCTATATGCGTCGCAGGATTCAGCTGGATGCCACTGGAGATGTTTGCGACTTTAACTATTTGCCAGAGTTGTAATCTGTCCTGCTGAAATCATTCCATATTTTAATGCTCTAAAGGTTACTTTGGTTGTCGAATCTGAAACTGTGTCCACTTCTTTTAAAAATGGTCTTGATGTGGCGAAAGAAAAAAGAGCAAGAGTCGGGTTTTGGTGAGGTGTGTTAGGTTTTTTTTTTTTTTTTTGGTTAAAGAATAGGTTAAAGGTTTTGAGAGATACAGATGTGAATGTGATGCCTCAAACTTTTGTCTGGATCTTCTTAAAAGATTCCTCAAATGATCGGTAAAGCAAGATATGTAAGGGACTGGAAGCTATTCTCTCATTGTTCTGTTACACTCAGGTATTTTGAAGTTATTTTTTCCCCCCTTTAATGTAAAACACATCCTTAACGCCACAACTTATTGGTATAGACATGTAATTGAGAGGATCCCTCAGAGCAATTAGTGGTGCCATTAAATCCATTTTCAACCATTTTGCATCTTTAAAAAGCAAAACGTAATAGTTAGATCTGGAGTATTGAAGTATGCTAAAGCACTGCTACCTCTACCTCTTCTGTTCATAGCTAGCTTGAAGAAGGCTACCACAGTTGTCCTTCGCTTAAGAGCGACAAATTCAACTATTTGGAAGTATTTCCAGTTGCTTAAAAAAAAGACATTCACAATCTGAAAGCTAAATGAGCGCTAACCTCTGCTGTTATTACTTTTAACATTGTTTTAAACGCACACTTGTCAAGCGTTGTTAAGCTAACTGGTTACCCAAGCAGATAGCTAACGAGCCAGCTTATTACACATTAGCTACTTAGCCAAATGGAGATATTGGTAGGTATTGGTTATTGGGAGAACACAGGGAGTTTTAAGAAGCTTTGTCTTCAAACTTTCAAGCTAACATCAAACCTTTCCAATGGATTCAAGTCATTTTATTGAGATGCCAGTTATAGTGGCTGTAGTTTCTTTTGGCTAAGTCGCTGAGCCTTACCGCCTCCTTGTTGAAATTACAACTTTCCCTCATTTGTAAAAAGAGGAAATTTGGCTGTTTGATAAAATATTTGGCAAGTCACTGCATGAAGGCTTAAAGTACCTCACTCTTTTTGCCAACTGCAGTTGGCAAGCTACATACTGTTAAGCCGTTGAATGCAGGCTAGCTGTCTGGACAGAAATTCTGATTATTTACGAGCTAATCTCAGCTTGTTACACTTGTGTTGCTCTTTAAACTGGTATCCCACACAATAAGCACTTGAAAACTGTTATCATATACAGGCCGGTTGAATAAATCAAAAATATTATTCAAAAGCCCTTTTATTCAGAAACTTCATCACTAAATAAATGAAATACATTATAGAGATTAATTCCACACAGATGGATGTTTGAAAGCCTTTATTTCTGTAAATTATGATACTTTTCCACTTACAGGTAATATAAAACATTACACTGTAAATCTGAATATTGCATCAATCAAACCAATTAAAAAACATTTTGAACAGAAATGCAGGCTTAATGAAAAGTATGTTCAAAAGGTGAATCATTTTCATCCTACCTTTATATTTTGCATTTGAAAAAGACCAAACCCAGTGACATCTGGATGAAAGATCTTAAACATTACTGTAAGACACAGCATTAACAAAATCCAAACTTCCCCTCTAAAGTTACTTATTCAGACATCATCCATTTAAAAGCGCAGTTTTACAAGCTTCGTCCATTCTCAGACTTATTGATACGTGCGTGTGCATTCTGACAGTATTGATTAGGAGTGATTGGGAGTGTCAGCCTGGTGTGAGGCTGTGTGCTGCTTTCCGTCTGGGGACTGGGGACGGCAGCTCTTTGTAACCTTGGCCCTGCTGCTCTGTTGCCGCCGCCTGAGTCATGAATAAAACATGGCTTTGACCTTTATCAGGAGTATTGGACAGTCCACCCCTGTGTCCTCCTCTCTGCCTGTCTCTGTCGTTCTTGTTGTCCCTCGTGTATCCGCACGCTTTATTCTAGTGTTTTGGTTCCTTTTCTTACCATTTAGTCCCTTGATTTAATCGCAGCTTGCATCATAACTAAAATAAAGATGATTTCTATCAGTTTTGCTACTTTTATTCTGATTTTGAGTGAGGAGGATTTCAACTCAGCACCAGTGCACCTACTGATGAGCCTCCTTTTTCATGATTCGCCCCCCTCTCACCAACCTCCAGGTCCAATCTGCTGACTGGCTTCCTTTACATGGCCATCGCCAGAGGCTGATCCTAAATGTCAGCGACACTAAATCACCTTTGTTAAGTCAAACCTGGCTTAATTGTGTCACCTGCGATTTGCTCCTCACGTCGCAGCAGACACCAACGTATCGGGGAGAAGCATCAGGGCTTCACAGTGCGCCCTGATACGCGATATAGTTTTGAAAACGTCAAAGCGGAATGGAAAAAGCCTGACAAGCCCAGTGCCAGCTTGAGAGGATCGTGATGTCTGTTGGCATTCCCGCGCTAATGCCGCAGGAGCGGAATGGGAATCAAATGTCTCCGAGCTGGCACTCAACGCATTGCTTGGTCTCTTTGATTTTTAGTGTACGGCATCCAGGAAAATGTCATCGCGCGTCGCTATTGTGCAGACTTGACGTATTCCTTTTGTAACTATAAAATGCAAAAAAAAAAATAAAAAATAGGAAGAAAAGAAAGAAAGAAATACAAAAGGAGGAAGACCTGAGATGATGTCTCCATGCCTGCGTGGACAGATTTACTGTGATGCATTGCTGTTCCGGGTTTGTCTGTTTTGTTGATGACAGAATGGAGCTCTTTCTATCTGTGTGTTTTGTTTATCTTCACTTATAGTGGATGTTGTAGTTTGTCAGCAATCCCTTATATTAAACGTGGAATAATCTTACTCCCAACAAGATAGGGGAGCAGTAAATTGTAGCAATGTGATGCATCGCTGTGTGTTAATAAGTCTCATCTTCAGTCATGGCTGCTGTGATGTTGTGCTGTCATCAAATATCAGTTAAAAAAAAAGAAAAGAAAGAAAAACTCTGTCTGCTCAGGTAATGGCAGCTATTACAGATCCAAAAAGAACCTGATCACAATCTAAAATGGATGATTTTCTGGTTGCCGCTGTATCAGCAACAAAACAACAGCCCTGCGACTCGATGCTACATGTCGATAAAGCTCGCAGGCCTACTTACTCACATTACAGCCGACCCAGTTTGAAGTAGCGCCGGCGCCGCCTGATACGTGCATTGTTTACACGTATTGTTTCTTGCTTAGTTAAGAGTCTGCAAATCCGATTAAAGGGAGATTAGGTGTGCAGTTGTCATTGCTTTTATTCGAGACGAAATCACCACTTTACAAGAATCACGCTCCATGCGTGTGCATGCGTGTGTGTGTGCGTGTGCGTGCGTGTGTGTGTGTGCGTGTGCGTGCGTGTGTGTGCCAAACTCTGACTTCAGGAAGTCCCTGGTCTCCATCCAGTGGTGAAAGGCCTCCCCTGCCCTCCGCTGAGGTGGAATACTGCCGGCAGATTAGCATGTCATTACCATACCATTAGCATAGCATTACCGTGGCACAGCTAGGCTATCAGCTCATCAAGAGATTCAGAGCTCAATCCGCTGCCTGCTTCCACCCCTTTCCTGCACGGCTGAGGTGTGTATTTCGTTGAGTAAAGACGTAATTGAGGTAAAGCTAAATGAAATCACACAAACACTCCGCCATCATTCGGGGAGGGCTGGTGGGAAGAGGCTCTTTCTTTGATAGCTTGTAGCGATGCACCTGATTCGGAATTTCTAAGGTAGCCTCAATCGGATGCTAAGCTATGTCAAGCCTTCTTCTGGCTGGATTACTTCAGGCTGTTACATTACAACCAGGTGTGTGTGCGTGGGTGTGTGTGTGTGTGCGTTGAGGGAAAGGGGGAAAAAAAAGACTAACCTGCCACTATCTTCTCCCTCACCCTGGCCTCACTTATTTCCGTACTGTAGGGGCAGTCAGGGGTGCCAAAAAGGGACACCAATCCTCTAATGGTCGGGAGCGAGGGCCCATTCCATTAGTCAGGGGGCCCAGAGTTCATCACTGCTCCTCGGTGTGAGGAGGGCGGAGGAAGCGAAATGGAAGCAGGTGTTGGCCGGGGGGCAAAACGGAGGGCAGCGCTGCACCAGCTGCATGCTGGGAAATGCGGCACTTTCATTTTCCCTCCTCATCTGTTTCTCTCTCTCTCTCTCTTTCTGTTCCTGCTTCTACTAGCAAGCGTGGAGACTCACGCCTTGTGCAGCGCACACGCACAAGCCTTTATGTATAAACACACACACACACACACTCTCTACCTCCCAATCACCTGCTTTTGTCCCCTGTTTCTTTGAATTGAGTGAGATTTTTCTCCATTCTCCTTATCTCTTCCTTTCTCTCGCTCTCTCTCAACCTCACACTCATCCACTCCCTCATTCTCTCACTCCTATCTCAACCTCTTTCATTTTCCCTTTGCTTACCTCCCCTGCCGGTCCCCGCCCCACTCCATCTTTGCACATGCCTCACTTTCATTTTTAAATGGGAAGAAGGACCAGACCGTGGAGTATGTGCGGAAGACGAGGTTTCCCCTTCCAGGTGGGAGTCTCTGGCGAAACGCAAAGGTAACTGCGGAGGA